TTTTTTTAAAAACTGCCTACACAAACTAAACTGGAGAAGGTCTACAAGTGCACTTCCCTTCCCACATTTCTAAAAATCAGAAGGAAATATTATTAAAAGAACTTGAATTTGATCAAACTCATTTAGTGATTTGGCTCGGTAATCAACACTTGTTTAATGTAATTCTCAACATGCTAGAACAACATGTTTTATGCTTAAGCTGTCACGTTGCCTTGAATCCTCTACATCTGTGCACAATTGTGAATGTACTTGATAGAATTCATAATAACAAAAAAGGTGCTTTTCGATCCTTTTCTTCTTCACATCCTCTCTCTTCAAGCCCTTTGTGAGAATAACACTGAGGAGTTTGGACTCCAGAATGAATTAGTAGAAGACACAGATGAACAGATTCATCTAAATTCCACTTTGCTTTAGAGTTTCTAGGAGAACCCCCCGACACCCCCACCCTTAAACACACACATAGAGACACACACTTGCTCCATGCTCAAGTCCACTAACTGACCTCTTAGGGCAGACACTGTCTTCCCAACACATCAACCTCCCCACCTCTCCTCCCTAAAAAAAAACCCCCTACCAATCCTGAACCCCTCCTTGAACCTCTCGCACCACCATCACCCCTCCTACCCTGAATGCTTTCCCTTCCCACACTTAAGTTCCTGTCGAGGCCCTGATAGACATACAGACACACCAGGTGACATCATGGTGGAGAGAGAAAGACAGACAGAAGAAGGGGACTGCCTGCCTGTCTGCCCCCAGCACCCACACAATACAGAAGGGCATCTGGCACTGGGTTGTGGTGGTGGGGTATGTTTTTTAAAAGGGGGGGTGTCTGTCAGGACAAAGAATTTAGATCCCCTTCCCTGGAATACGATTATAGTTTGTAAATGGCGGCCGAGACGTAAACATGTGAGAAGAAAGGGGCTGCAGTGTGGTGGTCGGTATGAGAGTGAACACACTAAAAGAAAAATGCATTTTTAGCTATTCGAGGAGGACTTTGGGAATTTCATGAGCATGTAAGCCTGAACTGAGAGACAGAAAAAGAACAAAATCAACATGTAGGAATTTTAAAAAAGTCACAAATCTTTGTAGTGTTGTAGTGTAGTGTAGTGTTTTCTGTTAGAAAAAAACCCTATAAACCAGAGGATCACAAATGCGGTGGTGGCATCTGCACGTGTGTTTGTGGACGCACTCGCACTTTGTTAATTTGCAAGATGAAACAATGGTTCCAGCGGGATAGAAAACAGTGTCATAATACTCTCTCCTGGCCCCCACCTCTGTCGCCGTCTGAGAGGCTGCCTACTTGCTGTGTGCATACAAGTGTGTGTCTGTCTGTGTGCATACATAAAATAAATGAGCTGTGCGTATGCATTGTGAGAGTCCGCAGGCCCAGTGTATATATTAAAAATGTGACTTGACCCTGGCAGGCTGAAGCAGGGTTTCTGCGTCGTACTGGGCGTGGGAAAAAGGGGAGACCTCTTTTCACAGCTGCTTCGGCCGTTGCATTGAACCAATGGAGGCCCTCCGCCACTAATGCCCCCCCCCTCCCCTTTCCTATTCACTCTGCAGCCCGCTGCCTTTCAGTGGACCCCTGTCCCTCCCTTCTGCGCTCTGTTCGTCACCCTGCTGCACCCCACCACCCTCGCCACCACCAATCTTTAATACAGCCACCATTCAGCCAGTGCACATTGAGATGCCAGAGGCCTCTCTGCTTTAAGGAGGTAAAGAATAACAAATACCAATGCAAAGTGAGTAACTTGTATGGTAATTTATATTTGCTGAATGTACTACACGCACCAAACTATACAGTAAATGTATATATATGTAAACTATATGAACTCTTTAACAGTTAATATCACACATAATTTTAACATGGACAGCTTTCTCCCAGAGGCTGATTCTACTTTTAAAATTTTTTTGTTTTTAAACCCAATTCTGTTTTCCTGACACCCATATCCTCCCCTCTCTTTTCCTTTTTCAAGCCCCTCAGCACAGACTTTAATTTCAGTTAACATACTTTAACACAACTTTAAACCTTTGTGCCGACGCACACCCAGGCAAACACACATTTGGCCCCTTTCACCACCTCCCTCCATCCAGTGTATTCACTTGAAGAGATTTATTTCCTATCAAGCCGCATAATGCAGAGGGTATAATTTAAATCAACTTTTAAGAACAGCCAAGTAGCGCGGTTTCTGCATACAAATCTAGAAAGCCTGGGAAAAATATTCCCAGCAAACAGCCGGCTGTTAGGAGCAGATTGCCAACTTTAAGAAGCCACGGGTGGGAGGTAGGTGTTTGGTTTTGCCAATAAAGATAACCTATTACAGATAAACCTCACAATCAGTCTGTTTAAACACATAATGCAGGCTTCATTTGTTTCTAACACTCTCACTAATCTGACAGTATTAACCATGCAACGGCAGGCTCAGAGCAGAATCATAAAAAACACACACCCACATGCAATTTTGTAGAAACTTTAAAAGGTCACATAATGTGCAGAATAACTCCAACAGATTCTCAGGAGCAGTCCTATCATGCTGTCTAGCTACCCTGCTGTTACACCAGGCATGTTGAGGAAATGTTGAGAAGCAGCAAGGGGGCAGCGACAGGGGAGGGGGGAGGGAGGGAGGTTGTAGCCGAGAACCTGAAAGGACTCCATCTCCCTTGGCCAACATGCCATGACGGTGTGGAGCTACAGTCTGAATTGGTTTCTCTGGGGTGGCGGAGCTGGAGAGGTGATGGCAAGATGAGCCTGAATTGGGATGGAGGAGGGGGGTGGGAGGTTTGAGCAGGAGGAGATATGACATGCTGAGGTGTCTGTGTGTGCGTGTGTTTGTGTGCATGTGTGCGTGTGTGTGCGTGTGTGTGCATGTGTGTTTGCGTGTTCAAGAGAGAAACTAAGAGAAAGAGAAAGAAGGCACACCAGATCTGAGGTACTGTAAATGAGAGGATTACTGCTTCCCTCTCTTCAAGTCTTTCCATATACATGAGAGTGCTCAGCTGTGGAAGCAACACTGCAATGTGTGAAATCACACATGCTCCCACCGGCACTTGCTTATGGAACAATTGCAACTAATGCACAATGTGTATGGGAGTTTTGTGAGGGGAAAACACAGCATGAATGCACGCTGGTGCATGCTAGCTCTTAATTGCTGCTATGAATACAAAGAGGACGTGAAGAGTGTCACTTCTGGATTGATGCATTTCTGTGTCAAATTTAGCCTGTAGCTATGCCTCTACTTCTAAAGCTCATGTCCAGCCAAAGCTTGTTTGCATCGATTTATCTAGTTCGTGGATATGATATTGACTAAGTAGACCGGCAGCCCTCATCGAGTTGAAGCAAAGCAAAGGAGGTTTAAGAGGTGGTCTAACGCTATGGAGGAGGATAGCCACAGGCTGTGAAATCTCCTCTGATCTTCCCTTGTCTGATTCTCAAACGCAACCTCTTCTCTTGGGGGGCATGCTGATATAGAACTAAGCCAATGTCACAGAACGCTCATCTAACCCTGGAGGGAAATAAAAAAAAATCACTTCTTCTGTCTATCCCCAATGACGGCCCTCAATCTCTATGGAAGGGGCTTCATCTCCCTCTGCTTCCCTCTCCAGTACTGCCTCCATCACTCCGTCTACTTTGTTCTCTGCAGGAGGTTGAACATGCACGAGCTGAGCAGCGTTCTCACCCTTGATGGCCTGCTATAGCAACTGTTAGGATAGGGAAGGTAATCTTGTCATGTCACTTGACACTCAGGAGGAAGTGGGGAGGGAAGTGGGTGAGTCACCTACATCTGGTTTCAGCCTTCCATCATCTGCAACATTATAAAACACATAGCTTGCAAGGTTTTGCCAACTAGGTAGCAAAGTAACTGGCAACCGAAGCCAGAAATATCTGTCGATACAGTAGGATATATACTGTGATGAGCATCTAATAGAGGGGAAAAATACAAAACAGTGAACCACACATTTTCCTTTAAAATAATCAATAACTATGCAAGAAACTGGATGGGAAAATTTTTAAAAATTCTACCAGTCAGGTGAAAAAGGGTTAGCTTTTATAATATCCATCCATCCATCCATTCGCTTCCGCTTATCCTTTTCAGGGTCGCGGGGGGCGCTGGAGCCTATCCCAGCTGTCATAGGGCGAAATTTTTATTATTTTATAATAATAATAATAATAATAATAATAATAATAATAATAATAATAATGAAGTAAAGAAAGAAGTATTTCTTCGTGGGAGCACAGGAAAATAAAGGGTGTTATAGAGACCAAAGAAGAGCCAACTAGAAAGAGGAGGACATAGAGAGAGAGAGATGAAAAGGGAGAATTAGTGAAGTGAGGGACTTAGCCACCCTGAAAGTCTTTCCACATGAGCACACCTTATGCACACAACAGGCTAAGGCCCCCCACCTATGTATGTTTAAAGGGATAAAGAGCGTGGACACATGAATTAAAATATAGATTATACAAGTGGCCACCTCTTCTTATCTGCCAAATCCGAAGAATCTAACAAATTGGATCAGGCACTATTAAGCAGAGGGCAAGAAATGAGTGAACAAAAAGGGTGTATGTGAAGAATGAGAAGAATGTAAAGCTCACCGCTTTTCCGTGAAGACATAAACTGTCATACTCTGAAGACTTAATTCAATGTACATTATAAATGTAAAGTTTCCAAGCAAACTAGTTCATCTGTTTATGTGGAATTAATTGAGGGTAGTTTAGAACCGTTTCAAGTTCAAGTGTGTTGACAAAAACAGATTATTAGCATAGCACTGTGTGTCTCACCTCTGCACTACAGTGATGAAGCCTCATCCTGACCCAGTCAGTGACCTTTGCTCCTCGGGGCAGGAGGCTGCTGTTTCCCTTCTGACCTTCTGCTGTCCTGTAGGTCCAGGCGCAGGCCTGCTGGTGAGGTCTGTGAATTTCTGTGTGACTGCCATCACTCTGCACTGCGCAGATTCCTGCAAAAACATAAAGCGTTAAGTTGAGAGAGAGCCCACTCCTGCAGCAGGTCATGGTCATAATCTACCTGAGCCCAGGTCACAATTTAATTTCACCACCATAAACCTTTTGCCCACGCTCTCACAGAAAATATTCGAGGATTGTTACACCAATAAAAAAAAAACCCTTTAATTTGGACCTCCTAGTAGTATCACAGCATATTTTTTCCTAAGTTTTGATTCATAAATCGAATCAAGACTATCAAACTTCTATTTTAAATTGTCAGCTACAATTAGCGCTTTGGTTCTTAATACAGCAACACTTTATTTCAAAAAACAATATTTATACCTGAACTGGAGCAGGAATATAGCAAAGCTACAAGGAAAAAGCTACCTCATTTCTAATGAATTTCATTTATGTATTTAATATAAATTAATATAAAGAAAACCTCTATTTAATACTACAGTATTAAATGTTAAGAGTAATGCAGATTACTAATACAGCTTTACCTGTTTAGAATTACAAGAAAAGTT